CTGCACAAACAATGTTCCTGACAATTACATCCACGCACTGTGGTCCTGTCCACCTGTCCAGGAATTTTGGGGTAGAGTATGTGAAGACCGGTCAAAGTCTCTGAAATGTCATATCCCAACTTCCCCCTCTCTTTGTTTACTGGGAAACCTGGACGATGTCCCGATTGAAACAGCTTTAGTTCATGTGGTTCTGACTGCCATATGCATCACTAAGAAAACTAGTCTCATGAATTGGAAAAATAGAGAAACTCTCTGCATTAACCAGTATAGAAATCTTTTGTTAGATCATATTGCACTTGATACAGCCTCTGCTTCCACTTCAGATGAATCTCTCTGGGCTCCTTTGATCGGTTCCATCACATAGCGAGGATGGGGGGCCGTTGATGTTGTCCTGCGGGATGATGTGGGTGATGGGGTGGAGGGTCTGAGTTTGGAGTATGTGGACGTTCCCTGGAGGTGGGTTCACTGGGGGGTGTCTGAGACTGGGGGGCTACTGCCCCCCTCTGAACGTGCTTGGGTTGCCTCGTGAGGACTGCTGGCGGTTGTGAGTGGGGCCCCTTGGGGGTCTTGGCGTTGGCCATGGGTCGCTGCCTAGCAGCTGCATTGCCCCTAAGCGGGTCTGGGTGGGGTCTGGGGGCTCGGGGTGGCCGGCCCCATGTGGGGATCTGGGTGGTGCCTTGGGGGTTGGGTCCTGACACGGATGCTGCCGGGAAGAAGGCAGGAACATGCGGCAGTGCCTGGCCTGGGCTCAGGGGCCTCGGGTAGACCTTGGCTCCTCTTCTGTTCCATCACAGGGGAGGGGGATGTTGAGGGGGAGGACCCAACCTTACCTACAGCAATCAATTTCCCTCTGGGATTAATAAAGTATTTTTGAATTGAATTGAACTGAATTACCTGGATGTCCTATGTCTTATATATTCTGGAAGTTGTGCAAATGTAGGAATGGGAGTAGATGTTCTGCTGGGGTGGGGCTGGGTTGGTGCCCTCGGACTCCGTGAGGCTCTGTGATGCTGCTGCTTTGGGCCCTGACAAGATGGGCTGGAGTCTCCATGCCCTGGGTGGCATTTTGGCAACAGAGGTGCCTATTGGGGCCAGTGGGGGAGATGGCTCCTTGGAGGGCTTAAGTCCAACCAGCCATTCCTCCCCATCCCCACACATTTTTCTTCTCCTGCTCCCTTACATCATCGCACAAGCATGCACATAGGACCTTGGGGGGAGGACAAGTCAGGGGGTGTGGATATGGACCCCATTTCCGCATTCCTGTGGCAACCTGCCCCCCAATTTTATTTGCACCTTAAACACTTCAACTAACGACATTCCACACACACTTAGGGCCTTGGGAGTGAGCACATTCAACGGCAATTGGCAGGGGGATTTTTCAGCCTCATACCGAGTGCCGGTACCCACTTTCAATTTAAAACTGCACTTAGACACTGAGGGTTGTGGGTGCAAGTGGGGTGGTGTGGTGGCATCAGCTGGCGTAGGCCAGACGATGCCCGCACTGCCCGCTCACCACAGCCATGGAATACACCTCATCAACACACACTAACACTATATTGGAGCAGGCGGAGGGAGATAGGGGTCTTAGCACACCTCTGTTGTCACTTGGCTTCCTGGGGCTGGAGGCTTGGAGGGAGATCTGGCCGTCTGGTTAGGGTCTGGGGTGGTGGGTTGCTTTGCTCAGCGTTGGGCAGGGGAGCCTGCTCATCAGCACCCCAGCAGAAAGGGTTGAACTCTGGGAACCAGTAATGGTTGTACCCCATGTGCAGCAGTACTGGGACCAGAGTGAATAGGGTGTGTATGGGGAGCATGAGTGGGTGTCCGGCGTGCATTTTTGTACGTCTTTGGTTGTATGTGCATGTGTGAGCATGAGGGAGGGAGTGTGTGACTGTGTCTGTGTATGACTGTATATGTCAGGTGGGTACTTTGACTCCTCCCTTCTTCTGGGACTTCTTTTGATGCTATACATCTTCGTCTCCCCTCCCCCTGCCACACCTGGTGAGGAGTGCAGTGCCTTGGTCTGCCTGAGTGTCTGTGGCTCTCGGGTCAAGGGGTTTAAGATTTCAGGCCTCTGCCTGATCAATCCTGGTGGCTGCCTGGTGGGATCTGGGTCCCTGGGCTCTGCTGGGTCCCCGGCGGGGGTGGTCGCCCTGGGTTGCTGAGTCCTGGGCTCGGCCGGCTGGGGGGTGGGAGGCTGCGGGCGGGCCTGTGGGCTTGCCGCTGATATCTCCCGGGACTCTGCCGGCTGATGGTTGTGGCCCCCCGAGGCAATCCTCTGTGCCTCTTGAGAGGGGCGGGGGCTTTTCTGGTTGCGGTGTCCTTGGGGTCCCTGTGCTCTGGGGCAGCTCCTGGATCTCTGGGACTTGGAGCTCCCTCCATCTCCTATGCATCTTTGGGGGGCAGATCTGTGGCCCCTCACACTCTCTATTGGACGCTCCTATAGAGAAACCTTACATAAACAAGTGCGTGTACACACACAGGTGCTCACATGGTGCTCTCATAAGTATGGACTTGGGCATGTTCAACACATGTCTTAAGGCTGTGGTTGGCACTAAATGCACTGTGATTTATTATCGTGTGATTTTTCAGTAAAACAATGTTGATTTTATATTTCTTCGTCAAGTTGACGCAGTGATAGCTTGCTCCTGTTGTATTGTTGTGTGTCCCTTTTCTGCAGGTCTAGAAGCAGACTCTTTTTCATCATTGATTGTTTATTTTTGTAGACAGCCGGATCTTGAGTTTTTGAAGAAAATGTGAATTCAATTCAATTCTATTCAAAGCTTTATTTATAAAGTTCCTTCCGCGACCCTGTCAGGAAGCCCAAGGCGCTGTACACAATACATAAAAAACATAAACCACAATGAATAAATAGATAATAAAAGCAATTAAAATAGTGCAAAAAGGGTAAAACATTGAAGTAGAAACAAATAGATAAAACAAGGGAACTCATCACTATGCCAACCATTCTGTCCTATTTTGCACCATACCAGTTTCCATGTTTTATTTATTTATTTATTTTATTAAAAGAAGCTGAAAAATGTCAAATGTGAGCTTGTAATAAATTTTGTTGCATTTTATCCCACTGTTAGACTGACTTCCTATCTCTGTTGGGTTTGTCTTATCACCTAATTATTAGACTATCTTATGTCCTTGCTTTAATGGGTTTGAGCACATCTGTCATCATCTGTTTAAATGTCTCTCGTCTCGTCTCGTCTTCCTCCGCTTATCCGGGTCCGGGTCGCGGGGGCAGCATCCCAACTAGGGAGCTCCAGGCCGTCCTCTCCCCGGCCTTGTCCACCAGCTCCTCCGGCAGGACCCCAAGGCGTTCCCGGACCAGATTGGAGATGTAACCTCTCCAACGTGTCCTGGGTCGACCCGGGGGCCTTCTGCCGGCAGGACATGCCCGAAACACCTCCCCGGGGAGGCGTCCAGGAGGCATCCTGACCAGATGCCCAAACCACCTCAACTGGCTCCTTTCGATCCGGAGGAGCAGCGGTTCTACTCCTGAATGTCCGAGCTCCTCACCCTATCTCTAAGGCTGAGCCCGGCCACCCTACGGAGGAAACTCATTTCGGCCGCTTGTATCCGCGATCTCGTTCTTTCGGTCATTACCCAAAGCTCATGACCATAGGTGAGGATTGGGATGTAGATCGACCGGTAAATTGAGAGCCTGGCTTTCTGGCTCAGCTCCCTCTTCCCCACGACAGATCGGCTCAGCGTCCGCATCACTGCAGACGCCGAACCAATCCGCCTGTCGATCTCCCGATCCCTCCTACCCTCACTCGTGAACAAGACCCCGAGATACTTAAACTCCTCCACTTGAGGTAGGACCTCTCCCCCGACCCGGAGGTGGCAAGCCACCCTTTTCCTGTCGAGAACCATGGTCTCAGATTTGGAGGTGCTGATCCTCATCCCAGCCGCTTCACATTCGGCCGCGAACCTACCCAGCAAGAGCTGAAGGTCAGAGCTGGATGAAGCTAGGAGGACCACATCATCCGCAAAAAGCAGAGACGAGATTCTCCTGCCACCAAACTCGACACACTCCACACCCCGGCTGCGTCTAGAAATTCTGTCCATAAAAGTGATGAACAGAACCGGTGACAAAGGGCAGCCCTGGCGGAGTCCAACCCTCACTGGGAACAGGTCCGACTTACTACCGGCTATGCGGACCAAACTCACGCTCCTCTGGTAAAGGGACTGAATGGACCTTAACAGAAAGCCACCCACCCCATACTCCTGGAGCGTCCCCCACAGGGTGCCCCTGGGGACACGGTCATAAGCCTTCTCCAAATCCACAAAGCACATGTGGATTGGTTGGGCAAACTCCCATGCCCCCTCCATCACCCTTGCAAGGGTATAGAGCTGGTCCACAGTTCCGCGGCCAGGACGAAAACCACATTGCTCCTCCTCTATCTGAGATTCAACTATCGATCGGACCCTCCTCTCCAGTACCTTGGAGTAGACCTTTCCAGGGAGGCTGAGGAGTGTGTCATCTAATCACAATTTAAATCAAAGCTGATTATGATTATGACTTATTGTTCACCTGTTTTCATTATTCTAGAAGAAAAACACACCTGCTGCACACAGCTGGGCAAAATAGTTCCATTTACCTATATTTCATACGTAGGTTAGGCACACATATGTTTATCCTATTTACTCTGCTTTGATAAGAAAACCTCAATCCTTGAGAGCCAAGATATATAAAGTAAGAAAGTCTGAAAGTTTTATTCTATTTTTTTATTATATTTTATTCTATTTTCAATCTTATTATTCATGTTATATGTAGCACATTAGTACCGAAGCAAGTTCCTAGTTTGTGAATTGTTTGTTCACTGATAATGGCAATAAACCTATTCTGATACTGAAGTCCAACAGTGTTATAAATTCAACAAGATTTATGTTTATTTACATTTTACGTTTTTTAAAATAAATAAACGTAAAAATATTTTGCAACACAGGATAGAATGGTTAAGTTCAGATTTTCTTAACTAAACTCCCCAAAACAGCCGTTCTGTTGGTGGCAGGAGAAGAAGCTGGGAAGACTGCTAACTGAAATAGCCAATCGTAGTAGAGCCTTTCTAGCCAATCAGAGGCGAGGAAGGTGGTATCTTCCTTAGACGATTCGAACGCACTCGTCCAGGCCTGCATTTATTCGCCGACGTCATCAATGTCCCGCCTTCTCTTGAATTCCACAGCGATGCTCTCTTCCCATTGGTCCAGCTCACTGGGGTGCAGAGAACAACAAACAAGGGGAAGATCGTCGGGATGGATGCAGGTAAGCAGTATTTTATGCTATATTAACGTTTATGACTGCTCTGACAGTCCATTCTTGACACAGGCGTATTCATAACATTGCCATATAATGTATAGAGATCATTTCCTTACTTTATCTTAATGGTGATTCTAAAGTTTTCCGCCTGTAGAGGACAGAGCTTTGTTAGCCTGCTAAAGTGATGAGTAAAGCTAACATCGTTAGCCTGCTGTTACTCCTAAATGTGCTGAAGAGTCCACGTTGACAGCTTGCCGTGTGATCGTAAAAATGGAGTCATAATGCCTCGGTGACATTTGTGATAGTGTCATGTGTAGATGTAGAGTTTCTTTGTCGGTGAGTTTCCTGAAGTTCACGCTAGCATTGCGTTCCGCCTGAAGGCAGGCGAGCTTCCCAGTTAATACAGATATTTTGCTGATTAGCACCAGATTGTAGAAAGACCGAGAATGCTAAAGAGCAGCCGGTAGGTCTCTGTCTGCGTGCTGTGTTTTCCTCTCTGTGACCGAAGATAAAACGATTCTATAAGAAATCTCACGATTTCTGTTATCTGATGACCATGAATCAATCAGCACAAGGTATAAAACTTTGACGTTGTCGAGACCCACTTTAAGACAACCGTAGTATATGTAATAGACGCCACAATAAAAATTAGCCAACATACGTTTTGTCTTTAATTTTGTAAATCTGATGTCCACAACCCTCTGAAGTAGCCCTCCATGGTTTTAACACATTTAATATGAATCTTCAGTTCTACTTTTATGATCATGTATGAATGATCTTTTCTAACCATAGATCAAGGTTACAAATCAAGTTCTCTGACATTATGGTTTTGCCTACTTGTCCCACTTAAATGCTTCAGAGCAGCAAACTAATGTCAACGTCACACATGGATAATCTGTCAAAACACAACAGAGAAGCTATCTAAACCAACCTTTGAAATCCATATTTTAAATTGTTGCATACAATATTAATAATGCTCTCATTCATTCATTAAATTCCACCCACATCCCACATGGAAGAAACATGAGTTCATATTTGCGCTTGTGTGTCACACTGCTGTGTGTTGATGCCCATCCTGGAAGTGACTGTGGTCCTACTCCAGCAGCTGCTGGCTGCTCTGTCTTCAGTTATTTCAGCTGCAACAAGCGGTCTAAGTGCAATAACACTGATATGAATAATCATCATTACTATGTACTTTTTATGGTGTTATTCTGCAGCTACTTTGACGTACGACACACTTCGTTTTGGAGAGTTTGAAGATTTTCCGGAGACGCCGGAGCCGGTGTGGATCTTGGGGAAAGAGTACAGTGCACTGACAGGTTGAATTTACAGATTAATGAAAGTTTTATTAAAAAAAATATTGCTGTCATTAAAATAACATGACCTAGACTTTTTAAGCAAATGTGTCATTGGTTTCTGCTCCTAATGCAGAGAAAGATGAGATCCTGTCAGATGTCACCACACGACTGTGGTTCACATACAGAAAAAACTTCCCTCCCATTGGTGAGTGGAAGCAACAGCTGCGTTTGTGGTTGAATTTTGCTTTTAGTCACAGAATAAAAGTCAAAAATGATTTTGAAATGTTTGACAGGAGGCACTGGACCAACGTCGGACACGGGATGGGGGTGCATGCTACGATGTGGACAGATGATCCTGGGAGAGGCCTTGGTGTGCAGACATTTAGGCAGAGGTGAGGTGTTTAACAGACTCAACAGTAATCATTAAGAGTTTAGTATGAAAACCGAGCCTTCTCCAGTGATTAGACCGTATCAAGCAGGACTTGTTTTAGCCAGATGTGGTGACCGGCTTTTGTTTTCAGACTGGAGATGGGCCAAAGGCCGGAAACAAAGAGAAGAGTACGTAAGCATTCTCAACGCCTTCATTGACAAAAAAGACAGTTATTATTCCATCCATCAAATCGGTGAGTTTTAGACCTTTTAACATATATTATAGGTTCCTGATGAGGTAAACAGCTGTTGTTGTTTTCCTTCTTAAATGCTGCAGCCCAAATGGGAGTTGGCGAGGGCAAGCCTATCGGACAGTGGTATGGACCAAACACAGTCGCCCAGGTTCTCAAGTAAGGACAAGAGAATTCCAGACATGTTCTTTTTATATTAAGTATGGTTTTTGTTAGGGATGCACCGATCAGGTTTTTTGCTGCCGATCACCGATACCGATCACGTGGATTGGCCAGAGATTTTCTACAACATTATAATGAGTGGTACAAACTACATAATCTGGGAATAAAGGAAATGTAACCTAATCTAAAATGGTCTGTATTAGGGTTGTCACGGTGTGAAAATGTAACCTCACGGTTATTGTGACCAAAATCACCACGGTTTTCGGTATTATCGCGGTATTTTTTTAAACGTGCTACATTTTCACACAATTAAATAAACCCTGTATGTCAGGAAAATATTGTCCTCAGTTTGTGTCTAAATTTTGCCTAAAATGTGTTATTTTGTAATTATGTTGTTTACTTGTTTACATTTTTCCCCTTTAGTCTTTAAAATACCAATATTTGCCCATAACTTCTTATTTTTTGTCTGTTTGATGTCATCATTTTAACAATATTAGATCAGATGGTACTCAGTACTCAAGTAGCCTTCTAATCAGATACTTTTTTACCCTTACTTGAGTAATAAACCCTATATCAGGAAAATATTGTCCTCGGTTTGTGTCCTTCCAGTGAGCTTTGCAGATGTGGGAAAATGTCATCAGGCAGTAATCGTTGTTAAATTCATAATTATTCTCTGAGAGAGACCAACTCTTATCTGCCCCTGGGAGCCCCGTAATGCATAGCGTCATTTCAACATGGCGGTGTCCGCGACACGGTTTATATGCAGGTAGCGGCGCTGCGGCTGCTTTATATAGCCACTCGTTGCATTCTCCCTCAACCCAAATCCTCGGATCACGCATTTTAGCTAAAACGCTAACGTTAGCTTGCCTTGCGTTGACTGTAGAGTTGTGGGTGATGGTCACGCAGATGTGTCATGAGATTTGAAGCGTTGCTGCCTTTCACAGACACTTTTTCTGCACGTGCTGCAAACAGGATAGCCGCCTTCTATCAACTGTCCCTCGGCATTCTTCAAATATCCACAAAACGCCCGTACTTCCCACTTTGTCTTCTTTGAGGGATAATAAATGTTCTCCTGAGCGCTGCCGTCTCCTCCTTTGGCCATTATTTCAGCTTTAGCTTCAAGAAAGTTTTGGTTGTAAACAACAAAGTGCGCATGTGCCGCCGGCAACTTCAGCCGATGATACGGTGGCTGGTAAGGGTCACCGCGCCTACACCGCAGCCACGGTAATCCACCGATATAATATAGTTTTTTAAAAACAAGACAGTTATTATTATTGTCAACTTTTTTTACCGTGGTTTACCGCTACACCGGTTACCGTGACAACCCTACCTGATCGGTCTGCTTTGATCTATTTTGAAAACTCCGATCAAAACCGATAGGGGCGCTATCGGCCGATTGGGATCAAATGCCGATCCATCGGTGCATCCCTAGTTTTTGTTTAAGTCCTAACACTTACAAGACAAGGAGAGACCATTGTCAAGTTTGGAATCAGCTCTTTTAGTTTCAGCCAGTTTTTATCAGTAGCAGTGACCGTGTGACTGTGTGTTTCTCTTTCTATTTTAGGAAGCTGGCAGTGTTTGATACGTGGAGCAGATTAGTCGTACACGTGGCAATGGACAACACTGTGATCATCGAGGAGATCAGTGAGTGCAGCTGTGATGCAACTTGGATGGTCGAGTTGTTTTGCTGCTTTAAAGAGCAAGTCAACCCGTACCAGATTCTAACTCCACTCCCACTTCATGTTTGAAAAATGCAACAAATGCTGTTGCCTGGCAGACCGAGAGGGCGGAGCTGCTAACAAATACACAAACACACAGGCATTGTGACATCATAACGTACCAGTTTACATCATAGCATACCTCTTAGCCAATAGCGGTGGCAGATTTAAATTAGAATACAGTGCAGAATTTTTACCTGACAACGGCACAACACTGACAGTTTTAGGCAGAATATCTAAATTTTAACTAAGATGCACTGAAGTGCCAAATTATTGACGGCACATGTCTGCAGCACGATTAGACACTCGTTTATTTAGTTTATCAGCAAAAAAAGTTTATTTGGGGGTGACTTGCTCTTTAAATATCACTCCAGGACTGGTGTTCTTGTTTGAGTCTGGGACCAGGCTTAGATCCTTTACTGGTACTACAGAAATCTGAGTCAAAAGTAAAATGTACTTTTGCACTTCTGTTGGATTTCGTTAGCTGCTGAGACATAAAAATGTGATCAAACAGCAAAATATTTGTCCAAACAGAAATGAAACATTTTGATTATTAAATCCCCATAAGCATCTTCTTCTTGGCTATTTATTGAAGTGTTTTTATGTTTGATTGTTGTTGTTTTTTTGCACTAAGGTGAAGTTTAATGCCATGACCACAATCAAAACAAAACATTTGTGTGATTACTGTTGTTCCTCCTGCAGAGCGTCTTTGCATGCCCTGGCTAGACCTAGCAGGGCCATGTGATCAACCAGCGGGAGCCGAGGAGCTGAATGGCTGCCTGGAAGGAGCCTGCGCCCTGGCTGAGGAGGAGACAGCTCTCTGGAAACCGCTGGTCCTGCTCATCCCCCTCAGGCTGGGCCTGAGTGATATTAACGAGGCCTACATCGACACCCTGAAGGTGAGAATTTATGGTGATGGTGGCCCTTTGGTTTCTGCTGCTGCAGGTGGCACATTAGTCAAGTCATTCCAGGGAGACAATACTCTGCTTAGGAAAGGAAAAAGGAGGTCAATTACATTTATTCACCCTTATCAAAAACTTCTGGGACTATTCAGACTGTATACATACAGGAAAAGCCATGAAGGCTTTATTACTATTGTTTTAGCTGTAGAGTCCTGCTCTGGGATCCCACGGGTAAAGCTGCTGCGGGTCACTAAAAGTGGCTGCGATCGTTGAAGAGTACAGCTGTTGTAAAATTAAGTCTGGATTCTGGAGAAGATTAAACTAAAGAAAAGGATGCAATGTTGGATTTATGGGAAAGCTAGTTCTTAAGGAGGAAATTGCAGGTACTTTTTTTTCATATAAAATGTTATCAAAAAAATACTATTTGAAACTCTTATTGTGGTTATTGTACTTTACAATACATAACAGCCCCTTATTATGAGTAAAAAGTGGTCTTTTTCAGTAAAGCTTCTAAAAATGCTCTTTTTTTGTCTGGGGGTGGTGGGGGGGTGTGGTGGGGGGGGTTTATAAGCTAGTGCTGCCTGTAGCTTAGTGTGGAGGGTAGGTAGTTTACGGGTAGAGAGGTCGTGTTATGGAGTTAGTGTGTGTGTTCACTAGTTTTTCATTGCATTAATTTTCCTTAAAAATGCTAAACCATTGCGTTTGTGGAGGATGTACCAACTCCAGCAGGTCTGGACATCAAGTCCGCGGGTTTCCAAATAAGAGAATGAATCCCACTTAGGGCTGCAACAAACGATTATTTGGATAATCGATTAATCGGATGGGGTCTCGACACGATTAATCGATTAATCGAATTACATAGGGACATTTTTAAAAACTGCTAGGGAAACGTTATTTTTCTCCTTCCTTCACTTTATTAAACACAACATTATTAGAAAACAGTTCAATAGCAGAAAAACAACATGCCATCACCTAAATTGTCTTATAAGGTGTACAGACAGAGACCCTAAGCTACACCTATCTGTGACCTAAAATGCTTGGTCCAAGTTAAACAGCTTAAAGAGCAAGTCAATCCCTACCAGAGTCTAACTCCACTCCCGCTTCATGTTTGAAAAATGCAACGCATGCTGTTGCCTGGCAGACCGAGAGGGCGGAGCCGCTAACATATACACACACACTCAGGCTCACGACAGCATTGTGACATCATAATGTACCAGTTTACATCATAGCATACTTCTTAGCCAATAGTGGTGGCAGATTTAAATTAAAATACAGTGCAGAGTTTTTACCTGACAACGGCACAACACTGCCAGTTTTAGGCAGAATATTTAAATTTTAACTAAGATGCACTGAAGTGCCAAATTATTGACGACATGTGTCTGCAGCACGAATAGACACTCGTTTATTTAGTTTATCAGCAAAAAAAAGTTTATTTGGGGGTGACTTGCTCTTTAAGGGCAATTCTCATCTGTTTTGTTTGATCTCATCTGTAGACATTTATTATAATTGGGGATGTCAAACAACTAATTTTTAAATGTAATTAAACATAGGCTGTGAATTAATCAAAATTAATCACTATTTCCAAAAATGACTGAAAAAATACCAAATAAAACAAAAGTAAATGAATGCCATCCTCCTTGCGATGATGCCCTGGGCAACTGCCATAAAGTCACATCAAGAAATGCTGCTGATCATTCCAATGATCCCAAATAGACTCACATTAGGCCACATGAAAGCAACTGAACCCAAAAATATATTAACCAGTATATAACTGCACTCACACACAACACGCCTGCAGCAACAGTTAGGACTCCTCCCTCCCTTTTAAAAATGTTTTCGCTTCTGAGGACATTGTGGTTGTAAAGCCACATGTTAGTAGTCTGGCCCCGGTGTGATCAACCAGTTTCTGCGGGAATGTGACGGCGGAACCGGTTCGCAGCGGCGCGAGTCCCCCCCCCCCCCCCCCCTATCAAATAGCGTCGCGCTTACAATTTTATAGACTTTTTTTAACGAGCTTAGGGCATGTCTAGCCTGTGTAATAATCCGGGGCTTGGGTGAATCACTTTTGAAAAGTTTTTAACTTACCCGGACACCGAGCTCTCTCCTTCCTCGCTGATGATTCTGACATGCTTGCGTTTAAGACGCTGCATCATCACCGTAGTATCCCCGCGCCATGCTAAGTCTGACCTACAAACATTGCATGTCTTCGCCTGATTTAACTGAAAATGCTCCCAAACTTTAGAAGTTTTTACTTTTTTGGGGTCTCGCTGCTTCTGCCATGTTCCTCTTCCAAACACCTGCCAGCTCTCCACTGGTCTGCGCGCAACGGCGGGCGGGAGGGGAGGGGGCTTTTGGAAGAGTTGCGCAACACAACGAATCGATGACGCAATTCGTTGCCAACGCTTTTAGTAATCGATTTTCATCGAATTTATCGATTCGTTGTTGCAGCCCTAATCCCACTACCGGTTGTTCGTAGTGCACACTTCAGACCGGGAGGATTACAATCCCAGCGATGTGATGGGAGTTCAGCATGCCTCCCATCCTCCTGAGCCCCATGGTGGAGTTTAGAAAAATACTTGCTGGCTCCCAGAGCCCAGGTCAGCAGTGGAACAAGGTCAGGGAGGTCCGTGCTGAGCTCCAGAAGCAGATGGGGCGTTGTTAAAAATTGCTAGCAGGCCGGGGAAGCTCGTTTCTGGGCCGGACCCAGGTCCGAGCCGCCTGCCCTGAACAGGATGACGGGCGTCTCTCCCTTTCTAAAGCGCTAATGAGCTATGTTACGTGAACAGATATTAAGGAGTATGAAACAGCTGACAAACGCTCATTATAGTTTATTATTGTCATGAATCGATGTTATATTTAATGACTAATTGTCTGGTACTTGACAGAAACCTGTACCACATTGTGATGTTAGCACACGAGTTTAAGCTAGCATCGTTCACTCGCCGAGACGCCTGCTCGCTCCACAGAACCTCGTGACACCACAGCTGAATCTTCCTCCTTTGGCCATCGTTTCTCCCTGTGGCTCGTCTCTGCTCTCTGGGGCGTGCAGCAGGCTCATAACTGTATGGTTGTGGTCCACCATAAGTATAATTATAAACAGTTAAAGTTTCCTCTGCGTCAGAACCGCCATTAAAATCCATATTTTTTACTGGATCAAGCCAACAGGATAGTGATGCGTCAGTCGCGAACGAACCGGCTCTTTGAAGTGAATGACGGGAGCCGCTCGTCATTGGGAGCCGTCTCCCCCCTCCCCCCTCCCCCCCTGCCTTGGCGAAAGCTACAGGCGATTGGTCAACATGTGTAACTGTGTGTCCAGACTGTCCACACACAGAGCAGTAGGGACGGGGAAGAGGGAGGATCAGACTCAGACACACAGTAGAGCACATGTGGGAGGAGGGAGACGAGAGGGAATGAGGAGGAGGGAAAAGGCGAGCGACGAAGACGGTGAGAAAATGAGCGCCAGCAGTCGGAAAGTGGAGATTTCTTAAAGTGTTCAGTTATTAAATCCATAGAAATGATAAATATTTGATATATTGCTTTTTTTTTTACATTAGTAAATCATTTTACATTTAGTTTAGCATTATTTTGGTTATAAATGTACTCTACGCAACAGAAAATCTGAGGAGCCACTTGAGAGCCGAAAGAGCCGGCTCTTTTTGGTGAGCTGAGCCAAAAGAACCGGCTCTCTAAAAAGAGCCGGAATTCCCATCACTACAACAGGACTCCCTCTGCCTGCATCACATCTGGTTTGGCAGAAAAAACATTTTTCTCACAAAAATGACTCCCAGTAAGTAATTAGCTAATAATCTGCTTTTCCCAGTATCGCCTGATTGCCTTTCTTGTCCATTTTCTTTTTCCCTTTCCTCACATCTTTTGATCACAATTTTTGCTTTTCCCATTTTTAATGAAATATTTTAGTCATTTTTGAATTTCTTTGTTTTGTTCTTGAGTTAGGTATTTGTTTTTTATTGCAAGTCATATCCTCATCACAATATTAGCCACTGTCGTCATGCATCGCAGGTTTTCCTAATTTCGCACATCCCTAATTGTCAAAAACACATTTCTTCCTTTTTCTCAAGTCCTGCAGCTGAGCCAGAGGAGACCGGACACTTGACAGTTCAGATGTCCGGAACATTTTCTGCATCTTCGAGCTGCAAAAATCTTCTGCAGCAATATTTTAGCATCAATGTGCTGTCGGCTCGGATACGGTCTGTTTCTACTGATGTAGCAATTAAATACTTTTATTGTATCACGGTGAGTTTTTAGGCTCCGTAATTACTGTAGCACCTCTATAGAATATGTGACTTGCATATGGTGAAGGATTTGAAGTCATGAACAGTCGCTTCTGACAATGCATGCATGAGACAAACTTCAAAAGGCCACAGCTGGGTGTTGAACCTGAAACCGCCACACCAGTGTTGCCAACTTCACTACTGCATCAGCTGACAGAACTTAGATCAGGGGTCTCAAACTCAAACGGGGCCGAAATGAAACTCTGGGATGGAGTCGGGGGCCAAACTTAATATTTTTTGAAAAAGTGATGCAAATTTGCACATTTTCTTTATCAACATTTATGCAATTTAGAACCTTTAAATTAGGAAACAAACTTATTTCTGCATTAACACTGAATGTGGAATAACCAAATTACACACGAGCAAGTCGGTTTTAAATAAAAGGCATCAGTGGTATTCATTACTTGTGGTATAATCAGCATTTTTAAAATCTATTCAGGATTTATGTTTTCTTGTTTATTCATTTTTCTTATTTTTTATTCTCCTTTTTTCTCCTGTAATACGTGTCATCGCTGCTGTGACGTCTAGCTTTCCCCACTGAGGAACAATAAAGGGATTTTCTATTCTATTCATCTATCTGCAGCCTTTCCACTTCCTGTTTACTGTCGGTTAAATCTTTGCTCACGGGCCAACAACAAAATAAAATATCATTTTTTCTTAAATGAAAATGCAACATCTCACCTGTTAACTTTCATGTTTTGGAGCAGAAAAAGAGCATCAAACCAACATATTTAAAGCTCAGTTTGCTCCACTGGTTTACTGTGATGCTCACCTGTTCCAGCCAGATACCTGCATCATGGGGTTGATCTGAGCTGAGGAGGAGACTCCTGTTGTTTTGTTCATCTTCATCATAATAATGACAACATTAGATGACAACAGGTGCTCACATAGGTTTGTGCTGATGAACATGTCTGAGCAGCTTGACCACGTTGTTGTGTGTCGGGGAGGAAACACGACCACAGAGTCGTGCTGGTTTGAGCGTGTCGCTGCTCGCTGGAGTTATATCAGCTCTGTCTGGACGTTAGTTGGAAAACTTTCTCTTTCAGTCGTGAACACATTACTGAGCGGCTAGAATCTCCGTTTCTGGGCTTCAACGTCAGAAAATGGCTGAGTGAGAGGCGTGTAGTTTGTTCGAGACAGCAGAGCTGCAGACACTGGCAGCAGACGCTGGAAAAAACACAAAGGAGGGGGCGCGTTGGCTCCGCGCTGACGCCACAAAGCATCATGGGAGTTGAAGTCTTTGTGGTAAAATCGGCCAGCAGGCCAGTTTTAATATATTTTTGATATTTATCTCGCGGGCCACATAAAAATGCTCCGCGGGCCACATCTGGCCCGCGGGCCTTGTGTCTGACACGTGTGACTTAGATCATGTCGGCCACAGCTGACACACGTCTGGTTTCTCTTCTCAGCAATGCTTCATGCTGCCTCAGTCCTTGGGTGTGATCGGAGGAAAACCCAACAGTGCCCATTACTTCATCGGTTACGTCGGTACGTCTTCCCTCGTTTGGCACACTCGGAGTGAACAGATCGTCTTTCTAACCAGTCTGGTTCTGAATCTGTCTGCCCGCAGGAGAGGAGCTGATCTATTTAGACCCACACACCACGCAGCCTGCTGTGGAGCCGTGTGAAGACGGTCAGGTTCCAGATGAGACGTACCATTGTCAGCACCCACCCTGCCGCATGCACATATGTGAACTGGACCCGTCCATAGCAGTGGTAGGACGGTCTCCTAAAACACTGGGAAATGTTAATGAGCAAGCCTAAGTTTGGTGTTCCTGGTGTCTGCAGGGTTTCTTCTGCAGAACAGAGGACGAGTTCGATGACTGGTGCATGCGTATAAGGAGGGTATGTCTCTGCTGTTCTCAGCTAAGTAAAGGATCGCCTTGCCTTTAAACAAGCTGCATGTGATGTTTGTTCCAGCTGACCTGCAAGAGAGGGGGCTTGCCCATGTTTGAACTAGTAGACAGCCAACCTGCCCACATGGTCAGCATTGATGCACTTAACCTTACTCCTGGTAAATAAACCACGTCCATTCTAAACGAATAAATACTTCAGATGTTGTGAATAAACACACTTTTTATGCATTTTCCTTTTCAGATTTCTCAGACTCTGACAGACTGGAGCGGTTCTTTGATTCTGAAGATGAGGAGTTTGAGATCCTGTCTCTGTGAGGAGCACGGCGAACTGTGACTTCCTGTTCTCTACAGTAGGCAGAGGCTTCTCTGAGGGGGTGAACATTAATTTGAGACCTCTTGAGCCAGTCCAGTTCCAGTGGGGCAGTACTCCGCCTCTGAACGCTGTTTGCATCCAACATGGAGGAGACTGCCCGGTGGACGCTGTAGCCGGAGCCGCTCTGTATGCACATCGTCACATACTTGTTTATCCGTCCGAGTCTTAACTTTAAATGTTTATGCTGAAGTGATACGGTGCCTTTCCCTGACTCCATAGTAAAATTGCCATAATGGTTTTATGTTGACTAGACCTACAGTGGCTCGTGATGCCGACAGCTTGTGCAGTCTGTCACTAATCGCTCATCTCTAACAGCTTGTAATGGAACCAAATCAAGTCAAACCTGAAGGCAAGTTGTAATAAACTCTGACGCAAACGGATCCTCGCCAAGTTAAAAACATGTACGTTAGTTTAAAATAATTTATTTAATCAAAACATCCTATCGGCAAGTTAAGGACTGCAAATAAAAACCTGATCTTTTATTTGGCAGCTGGTCGTCTCTTTCAAGTCAGCCATGATGTATTTGCTCTCATGCCAACAGATGGGGTTAGTGTGTGGATAACTTGTAGCTGAAGCCTCTCAGCCTCCCTTCCAAAGCTCTCCGAGTGGCGTGTTCTCCGCTGCGCTGATGGCATTCAGGCTGTGGTGTTTGATGTCGTCGTGAACATCGTCAACATTCTTGGATGCATCGATTACCTGAAAACAAACATCTGTTTGTTGGTTGTTTTGCCTTAAACGAGCATGTCTGTTAAAGCCATCCGCACACCTTCCAGTTTACTGAAGGATCTTTCATGAGCTGTTTGAACTTCTGCTGGACCGACTTCTGGAACGCGCTCGTTTCGTATCGCTCGCTTCCAAACTGGCCTCTCAGAGCAGCCTCGGCCGGGTTCAGCTGCAGGAACATGACCAGGTCCGGCTTTGGCAGTCCCACGTCAGGTTTCATGCACCAGTCCATGCAGAAGCCCTGGAGAAGACGACAAAGTGTTTCTCCTCAAACGTGAACTGGAACAAAAGGATGCAACGTTTGCCGTGGAACGGGAGTTACTTACAGGCTTTGCGCTGGTAAACGCGACACCAGAGAAGGCGTACCTATCCACGACCAGAGTGATGCCCCGATCCAGCTGCTGCTTCATCAAAGGCCTGTGTTTAATACGAGTGTTAGGATGGTTAGAAAGAGAAAAAAATGGCAGTTTGCATTTAATGCTGAACTCTAAAATGAGGTTTTGGTCTTTTGTCATTACCAAGCTGCAATAAAAAAAATCCTCCACCTGAGTTATCGTGGCTTTTGTTAAAAGTTCCTTAATATAATTCCTAATTGGCCAAAATGATTATTAGTTGGTAAAATCATGGACGTAATTTTTTGGGGGGGGGGGGGGGACAGGGGGGACATGTCCCCCCCACTTTTTCCAAAGTCAAGTTTTGACCCCTGCACTTTTTACCATCCAAAAACAACATTACGCTATATTAAATTGACACTAGTTGGGCTCTAGGACCAAGCGGAAAACAACTGTTTGTGTTGAAGCCGGTTTCCCATTAGAGCATACTGTAAAGATTACCCTCACCCCCCCCCACTCCGTGTCCCCCCCACTTCTTAAGTGAAAATTACGTCCATGTGACACACTACAGTTAGACCCAAAAGAAGCTTCAAGGCACTAATTTGGAAAACTATTATGTCCAGAGACTCTAGCCCAATAAAAAGAACCTCCTAGTTGTTTCACTGTGGTTTAGAAACTTGATGCATGCCTTTGTTTTCTCCATAAAACGTTTGTCCAACATCAGCTGTGATGTTCGCCATTTCTTTGTTACTTTTGACCATTTGCCGGAATACCCTCCCTTATTCGTGCGGGATGCTTTCATGTTGCTCAGAGGGGGGTCTTATTGGGTTAGGGTTAGGTGTAAAACAGCCCACACCGCTTATGCTCCGTTTGACTTCCTGATTGGAGGCTTGTGAGTCAAAATGTGCAGGAGGACCTTTTTATTGGTCTAGAAGACTGAAACTAAAGCAAGTTTAAATATTTTGAAAGCCAGTGTCTAGAGCTCCTTTTAGAACCATCACCTTGTGTTTATCCTGGATCTGATCTGGACTCGGACACGACCCGAGAAGTGCTCCTACACACACTTTGTCTAACAGATATTTTACATGTGAGAAACCTTTTCTTCTGACTTTTGTGACTACAAGGAGAGCTGTAGCCTCTCCACATCCTGAACTGGATTCAAATATCACGCTACACTTAAAGCGTACGCTGTTTGAGAAAGCTTTGCAACACAAGACGTTAACTGTTGCCTCGCGGCAAGGTTGCAGGTTTGAAGCCTGACAGTGGCCTCTCTGTGTGGACTTTGTGATCCCCGTGCGTGTTTTCTCCCACAGGCTCCAAACAGGTTTAGGCTACGTGAGGTTAACGTACACTAGTTCCCAGCGGTTTGCGGAGAAAAGCAAATGCACCGTGTGGTCCTCCAGGTCGCTCTTCTTCTCCAGGTAAGCGCTGATCAGCTGACCGATCGTGGTGGTCCTGTCTGGAGAAACAAACCTAAAGCTGTACCACACACCTGGGCGGAGGGCGACAATAGACGCACGCAAACGCTAAAAGGTCTCACCGGGGAACCTCATCATCTCCGCAGGCCGACCGCTAGCCTGGAGAGCCTGGACCAGCTTCTTACACTGGGTCGTTTTCCCGGCTCGGTCCACTCCCTCCAGCACGATCAGCGCGCCTCTTTTTGATGCCATTCCCCACGATCTGTTATTGTTTAATTATTTATTTTTACTGCTGTAGGAAAAAAAAAAAACACCCGCGAACTCCTTAGCATCAACTTCCGCCATCAAGCTACTTTCTTTTCAAACGTTTTGGTGCTCTAGCGCCCCCACCTGGTGTGGAGACGCAGCGCATTCTGCTTAATCCTTAAGGACCCGTGGTGACACTCAGACCGTTTCAAGCATCTGCAAAACAGCTTCTGCGTTTGTTTTCGGTTTTTGTGTTTCTGTTAAAGTGAGCTGTTGTTTATGTAATGACTCTGCTATCATATTTCCTATTTTTTTGTATAATTTGAGGACCCGCTCCAAAGCGAGAAGCGGTTTGTATCCTCATAAGTCAAAAACAAATACATACACATATTCAAGTTAGACAACTACACATAACATTCTATCCAAGTTTCAAAAAGTGATTTAACTTCTTTGTTTTATTTCATTTATTTCTGAAATATGATGTATTTGTTCTAATCTGCTATTTTAAAATGGTGTGGGTTCTTAAGGGCTTTGATAACTAAAATATAGCCTCATAAAATGTACTTTTGGTGGTGTTTTGATCATTTTAGTTTTTATTTTACCTCCTTTCTTCTCCACAGATAGGTTCTCAGTGTGTTAAACATCATAAACAAATAATAAATGGGATTAATTTTTACAATTCTTTTATATTAAATTTTTTGTAACTTTTCAATAAATTCTGCTCATTTTAGTTATAAGTGTAATTTGTAAATTAACATTGGTGTATTGAAATTCATCGTAAAAGGGCCATTTATTAGCAGAATTGTTTATTTCTCACACAGTAATCCTGACAAAAGGTATTTAACAGATCCAACAGAAACTGGTCACACTTTGCTCTTATGACAGTGTTTCAGGGCATCTCTCAGCGCCGCTAGCACCATGTCAACATTAGCCTCACTGCTGTTGCATCCCATCAGCCCCACTCGCAGCACCTGAACAGACCAGAAACACTCCGTTTAGTGCACACAGAGTCAGTGACTGTTCATCACTGGACTTTATTTCCCTCTTACCAAACCAACCGATGGTCCCAGCCCTCCAGAAATCTCCAAGTTGTGTGTTTTCATGATGTAGCCTGTGATTTCTTTCCAGTCGTATCCATGAGGAGCAACAATGGTGGTAACTGTAGGCAGTCTTGTGTCCTGTAAATGTAAACAATTCATGATTAAATACTGATCAACTAATGCACGTGTAGCTAATTCTGACTCTTACTTTGTCTTTAACAAAAAGTTTGAGACCCATGCTCTCCAAGCCAGCATGGAAGTACAGCATCACCCTTTGGTGTCTTTTCCATGAATTCTCCAGACCCTAATGAAAGCAAAAGTCCAATATAAAAAGAGCAAGACGTTTAAAATACTTGACAAGTCATGCATAAAATCAATTTTTATTAAACTTTATTACACTAAGAGTAGGAATACTATAACCAGCTGGAGACCAGTGAGACTGAATATTTAACCAAATATTTCTGTTTATTAAAATGAAGGTTGAATACAGACTAAACACAAATTAATGCTTGAAGGAGTTCATATCACCCTCCATCTTTCATGCCTGAGTCTAAAATTAGAATGATTGTTGAATGGTTACTGTGATTATAGTTGATAGTAGGATGCACCAATATGAAATTTGGGGCCAATACCAATATATATATATATATATATATATATATATATATATATATATATATATATATATATATATATATATATATATATATATTATGTATACGATATATATATATATAAATGTATACGATATATATATATATATATATATATATATATATATATACATATATATCGTATACATTATATATATAATGTATATGATATATATATATATAATCATTATTATTATATATATAAATGTATACGATATATAAATATAATCATTATTATATATATAAATGTATACGATATATATATATATATATATATATAAATGTATACGATATATATATATATATATATATATATATATATATATCGTATACATTTATATATATAGTATACATTATATATATAATAATTATATATATATATATAATTATTATATATATATAATTATTATTATATATAGAAAATAATAATTATATATATATATACATACATATAAAATGTATACGATATATATATATATCGTATACATTTATATATATAATAATAATGATTATATATATAATAATTATATATATATAAAATAATAATTATATATATATATATATATATATATATATATATATATATATATATATATATATATATAATTATTATTAATTTGTTTTTAATTGTTTTTTTTTTTTACTTTTACACACACACACGCTTCTGAGATTCTTCCCATCACTGTCACATGACAACATGACTAAACAATTACACATCGTCGCACCCTCACCGTCTGAAACAGATACACAAACAGTTGTTTATATTGGCCCAGTTTTACTTATTGGACCAATATCAATATGTTAAAAAATGACCTACATCAGCCAATACCAATATTGATTACGATATATCGTGCATCCTTAGTTGATAGTTGTGTTGGTCACCATTAAATGCAGTTTCACACAATGTCCCTAATAGGTATTAGAAAAGCTGCTCAGAAGTGATGTCCAGTAGCAACACACCAAAATTAGGTTGAAAATCTGCTAAACTGACTGATTTGTGACATAAGTTTCATTTGCTAGTTTTAACATTCATGAGCTGAGTTAATCTTAAACTTGCCTGACTCTGAACATCCAGCGATTACTTTCTGACATTTTCATTAAAATCTTTCCTGTGGTTCATGAGATTATTTGTGAACAAACAAAAACATAAACACAGACAAAAACATTATTGCTGCTTCTAAAGCTGGCAGGTGATGCCATTCATCAGGCTGGATACCAAAACAGAACTGAATCTGACTGAGTATTGATCGTTGTCAAAAAAGGGCCTGTCTAATATCCCCATTTCACTTTAATTGCACAGGAAGACACCCCCTGTTCCTCCAAGAATCCCACCTCTTCAGCGAGGACAGCCAGACTCTCCCTCAGGGAGTAGAAAGCCGTGACCGGACCTGTGTGGTGATACCTATTCAAGAACAGAAAGAGGACAGAGCTCTGAAAATTCACCTTTCGTGCGCGCTGAAAATCAGCCGTCTGTCAAAGTTTGAAAAGAGAGAAAACTCAGCAGGTCTCACATTCTCGATGGCTTGTCATCGCAGCCCCAATAGTTCGCAAGCCAACTCAAATCCAAAAAGAACGACACCGGCTTTGTGGTTCGATTGAATACTTTACGGCTGTAAAAAAAAATTCCACCTTAAATGCACGGCTCTGTTTGATTGCTTACAGGTATCTGATACACACACACACACGTCTCACCATGCTCTTTCACTGAAGGAAATGGGCGCTGTACCCGGTGGGGCATTCAACACCTTCTGAGATCCTGTATACAAGATATCAATCCCTGGAAAACATCACCAAAGTGTCATCTAACTCAGTTATCAACCGTCACATCCGCAGCACGGCAGACACCAAAGCAGCTGCTGGATTTTGCTGTGAACCTTGCTGGTCCATGTAGACAGGGGCCCCTCCTATTGAAGCCACAGAGTCGACCAGAAACAGGCAGTTATACCTGCAGTCACAGATCAGAACACGTGGGTCATCGTCCGCCTGTCTGCGGCTGCGTTGATGATGCAGGCGTGAGGCTTACTTATGGCACAGGTCTCCAATGCCTTCTAAAGGATGAAGGACTCCTGTGGAAGATTCTCCGTGAGCGAGGAAGAACAACACCGGACTGTGTTTTGATAGAGCCTGAGGTGAGAGGATGCAGCGTGAACACGAGCTGGCTACAAAAATGAACTTATCCTGAGAGCTGGGGAGCGATACCTTCTCGATGTCTGCGTTGGTCAGGTAGCCTCCAGGGGGCGCTACTATGGTATTCACCCTGGCACCTGTTAGATTGACACACATCATGATATAAAACGTTTTTGCCATCGAGCAGTGCTGATTTTAAAGACTAGCAGTGGCTATTTAGGGGATTAAAACACATTTTATGTACAAATGGAAATATATGTTCTGTTTTTGATGTTAACTAAAACAATACCTAACTAATAAATACTACTAAAATCTTGCCTGTATAGTAAATGGCTATTTGAACAGCCTCAGTTTGGAGAAACACAGATGTTAGTTATGAATGGATCAATAAGCTAACAGATAGTCAAGCTTCAGTCCTTAGAAAAAGGTTAATCCTAAAACTACATTACACTGGCATCAGTTTCACACAACAGTTTTCACGTGGAGTTAGAGCTGCAGCGTGTCTGGTCCCGTGAAGAGCGGTTCTGCTCAGAATTTTTAGCATGTTCCGCCAGAAAAACAGTACTGTGGCGATCGCTCTGGTGTAAATGTTTACGAAACAGCTGTCCTGTGTGTGAAAACTGAAGCTGTCTTAAAATGACAGCAATCCTCGTATACCTTATGTTCAGTCCGGTCTAATCTGCATTACTCCAAACTGAGGCTGACCAAAGTTCAGACCAAGTCTTTGTTCTACACAAGTCTGTTAGCCAAAAAAGTCAATTCAAATCCAAAATGATGAACAGTTTATAGAAGCTTGAGTCAGAAAAGGATAGAATGCCTTCTCTGGGTCAGGGAGGAGGTCCTGCTCCAAGTGGAGGAGTTTCTCCTGGTCTTGTTCACGAGTGAGGGAAAGATGGAGCGCGAGATCGACCGGCGAATCGGTGCTGCAGGCGTTGCACTGATCTGTTGTAGTGAACAGAGAGCTGAGCCAGAAGGCAAAGCTCTCAAAATGCGTTTTCTCCACAGGGTGTCTGGGCTCTCCCTTAGAGATAGGGTGAGAAGCTCGGTCATCCAGGAGGCACTCGGAGTAGACCCGCTTCTCCTCCACGTCGAGAGGAGCCAGTTAAGGTGGCTCGGGCATCTGGTCAGGATGCCTCCTGGACGCCTCCCTGATGAGGTTTTCCAGGCATGTCCAACTGGGAGGAGACCTAAAGGGAGACCCAGGACACGCTGGAGGGACTGTGTCTCTCGGTTGGCCAGGCAACATCTTGGGATTCCCCCAGAGGAGCTGACCTGGGGAGGGAAATCTGGGCTTCTCTGCTTAGGCTGTTGTCCCCTCGACCCCCGGAGAAATGGTTGAAAATGGATGGAGTTTACAGAAGCGGTGACTTATATTTATTTGACAGAACAAGCAGTAAATGCAGCTGAACCTGGTCAGAAATAAAGAAGTGCTAACGTTGCATTACTAAAACAAAATGCTTTTTGTGGCTGTAGATTTCAGATTCATCAAACTTACGTCATCTTAAAAAAAACGCACGTAGGGTAAAATAAATGTTGTGTAGGACTACTGCCACCATGAGCAGACACTGTGCATGTGCCCTTCAGAACCTGGGGAGGATTTTATTTAGTAGATCCATGTTTTTGTAGAAAACGTTTGTCTTGAGTTTCACTTTTGATTGGCTTATTTTACAGAAACATGAAGTTTATTTGTGACTGTTTAATTCATCCAAGTTTCTCTGATTGGCTGTAGCTAAAAAGGCAGCATCGACCTCGTAGGCCTACTTATGGAAATCACAATAAACTTGACTGATTGATTCAGTTCATTAAGTCACTGGACTTTAGCCAATTTAAGCTTCTTCTGCAGCGCTGACTTTTGACAACCAATCAAAATGCAAGAAACTATCTAAATTTGTGAGATTAAGGAAACTAAGTAAACACACGTAAAGTGGAACAACTTGTCACCATACTGACATACGGCCCAGGCCCTGTCCACAAGTAGCCGGGGATCTGCCAAAACGTAGATATTTTTCTACGTTTTGGCCTGTCATCCACACGAAGACGGAGTTTCGTGTTTCGGACCTGTGTTTACACTAGCCGACAGCATGGATGCCCTCAGAGCTGCGCTCGCTTTATCAATTGTCCAAGCGCTTTCTGCTTGTTTGTTTTTGCAAGCGGAATTACTGCTCCTTGCGGAAGACCACAGACGAAGGACGAGGTTAAGAACGGGGGAAGTACTGCCCCCTACAGGTCTGGCATGTCCTTAACAACGTATTTATCCGGGTACGTGTGGACAGAGTTTTTTAAATGAGGTGGTGTGGATGCAAGTTTTTGGAGGGGCGGATATTCGTTTTTAAAAAACCCGGCTACGTGTGGACTAGGCCCCAGTCAAAGGCCTCAAGTCCAAGTGGAGTCATGAGTTGTTGTGTTGAAGTCCAAATGGACTCTTTTGTGATTTCATCAAACGGAGTCCAAAAATCATTTGAACTGTGACTCCAGTCAGAATAAGTTGAATGAAAGTCACATGGCTATAAACAGTCTGTATTTGATACAGCACGTAGGACCCCCCAAGGTGCCTTACAATACAATCAGTGATTCATCCATTCACACACACATTCACAACCTGATGTAGCCACAGCTGCCCTCGGGCGCACTGATAGAGGCGAGGCTGCTGAGCGCTGGTGCCACCATTCCCTCCGACCACCAGAGCCGTGTCCAGGACTTTTAAAATGGGGTGGCCCAAGTGGGGCACTTGTTTATTCATGGGTGGCACCAATGCTTATGCTTATTTATTTATTTACACAAATCGTTTATTTATTTATTTACTTTCTAGTGAATTTTTGAGTTTCACATTGCACAATCGCCATTTTCTTTTCCTCTTCATCTTCTACTTTTGTGGTGGTTAGCAAGTCACTTCTTGTTGCATTATTGCCACCAACTGGAGTTGAGTGGGACTCTAAATACTATGTATGTGAATATGAAAAAATATTAAATAATAGTAATACTACATACCTGGGCTAGAAAACAAGGTGAAAGGTGCATGCAACCACACACTATTTTGGAGTTAACAACCCATGCCTTTTAAACTGGAACTTAGTGGGGTGGCACCTGGGGTGGCCAATCAGATTCTAAGGGTGCCAATTGCTACCCCAGGCCACTCCCTGGACACGCCCCTGCCGACCACCACCAGCAGGCAACGTTGCCCAAGAGCACAGCTCTCACTGCTGATGCTGGTCTACATGTTCCATCTGCAGTGTAGAGTCACCAGCCTTACCAATCCTCTCTGCCATGTCTGCTGCTCGCTCTCCCCAGATCCCATTCACCGCCACCAGCACGCTGTCGCCGGGCTCCACCGTGTTGAAGATGGCACACTCCATCGCAGTGTGGCCGGTACCACTGACAGCTAACGACACCTTGTTCTGGGTCTGGAACATGTATCGAATTCCACTTTTGATGTCATTCATGATCTGTGATGTAAGACATGAGGCCACCTTTAGCTGCTAGTGTGATTTAAAAGACAGATTAAAACACAGCTGCAATAACCTTCTTTATAGGAACAAAAAAGGAGATTAAAAAAGAAAGAATGTAGTTAAATGAAAGAAAACATTTTAAAAAGTCATCCAAAACATGTGAAATTGCCTGCATTTGTAGAGTGCTTTGTAGGGTTCTGCAAACCCCCAAAGCGCTTTACCACACAATCAATCATCCACCCATCCACACACATTCATACACTAGTGGTGAGTTAGGAATGGGTACCTTTGACATTTGAATCGATCCGGTACTAATTCCCGGTACCTAGGAATCGATACCGGTACTTAACGGTACCAATTTTCAATACTTTTGAGTGTTTAATATTTAAATTCTCTTTTATAATTAAATATATATTTTTCTCAATATATAACAATATTTGATAAATATCACGATAAATAACATTCAACTGTTTGTATTTTAACATCGTCCTTGTAGTTTTATAAGCTGATAATTAAACTGAAGCAAACATCTTTACTGTGAACTAAATTTACTGTGTCTTCATTCATTTTACCTTCATTTTTCATTTGATTTTTCCTACTGGGAAGTTAGAATTTCCGAGGAGAAAGCGAACGCACCATTAGCTGATAACAACGGTGGCAATGGAAGCTAACATATCAAGCTAACGTTATCTTAAACAGTTTATTTAACTGCTGGAGCAGATTAAAACGATGATGCCTCACACTTACATCGTTGTCGCTGGTTTCATCTTCACCCAATCACCCGTCGCATTTAGTAAAGTGAAGCCAAACTTTAGAGCGCGTTCATGTTCTAGTCGGAATTTCGGAGTTCCGAGGAGAAAGCGAACGCACCATTAGCGAAACGGAAGCTAACAAATCGAGCTAACGTTATCTTAAACATTTTGTTTACCTACCGGAGCAGATCAAGATGAGGATGTCTCACTTAGATCGTTTTCTGTTGCTGGTTTCATCATCACCCAGTTACCCATCACATTTAGTGAAGTGGACCCAAGCTTTAGCGTGCGTTCTTTCTACCATGCTGCTCTGTTTACAACTCGCTCGCAGGGAGCGACGACATAACGCTCTTGCGCATGCGCAGCAGTCTCAAGTTCTCGTTATGAAGGACGGGTACCGAAACGAGGCACCGTTTGAAATGACGTGAATCGGTGCTCGGTCGGTACTATGGAATTCGGTCGGTACCTTAAAAAGTACCGAATTCGGTACCCATCGCTGCCCTGGGGTGCATTAAAGGAGGCGAGGCTGCCGAGCACTGGCGCCACCGCTCCCTCTGACCACCACCAGCAGCAGGCAAGGCGGGTTTAGTGTATAAAAAAAAATCATGAAAAAATAACTGGATTAAGAATGAAGAAAGGCCAAAAACAGAAGTTTAACGATCACTGACAGTTATGGTAAAACTTAAGATTTATTTTCTTTTTTTGTCTTAACAAACTAAAGTCACATTTTTACCATGACTATTGAAAAACCGCGTTAATCCTGCTGATTTACCTCAAATATCTCTGGATGCATGTGTCCAATCACAGGTTTGGCTCCAGCCTCCAAAATGCGTGGAGGAACATTGGAAGGTCCAGGTCCAAACATGTAGCGGTGCGGTACAAGCAGACGCTTCTGGAGGCATGGCGGCGGTGGTATGGTGAGAGAGGACATGCTCGTTCACAGAGAGACGATCAAAGAAGGACAGAGATGTGGACAGAGGGGAAGAAATGCCCCAGCCACGCACACCCCTCTGTCTGACCAGTCAGGTCCTATATTTGCTTTTATCTGGTTCACCTTCTGTCAACACTTGTTGATGTGTGCACAGTGAGCTCAGTCAACTTGTACTTTCCCATTTTATTAGATAAGGAGGTCACCAAACATGTTCTCAGATGTTAATTATTGACTCGCTGCTGGTTAAACTGGACATTCATTCACCTCTCTGTCACTGATGAAGAATAACTCGTCAGTCAGAGAGACACCACATCTAATCTCAGCAAACACGAGAATGGTCACATTTCGGTCCGTTTTACAGATATTGAGCCTAAGCTGAGACACAAACTCTGAATGCTCAAAGATTGGGTGAAATCCTGAACTTGTTATGAAAGCTAGTTAAAGAGCAAGTCACCCCCTACCAGAAACTTACTCAACTCCCTCTTCATGTTTGAAAAATGCAACAAATGCCGTTGCCTAGCAGACCGAGAGGGCGGAGCCGCTAACAAATACACACACACACAGGCTCACAACGGCATTGTGACATAATGTAACAGTTTACATCATAGCATACCTCTTAGCCAATAGCGGTGGCAGATTTAAATTCAAATGCAGTGCAGAGTTTTTACCTGACGACGGCACAACACTGCCAGTTTTAGGCAGAATATTTAAATTTTAACTAAGATGCACTGAAGTACCAAATTATTGACGACACGTGTCTGCTGCACAATTAGACACTCGTTTATTTAGTTTATCAGCAAAAAAAAAAAAGTTGATTTGGGGGTGACTTGCTCTTTAAATGTTAAAAACCAAACATAAAACAGTTTTTGTGTCGGGCAAATCAGAACTTTTTAAAATTTGCTGCTGTTGCTACAGCTTGTTGCCCTTCACAGCTGTGTCGGACTCGTCCCTCAGAGGGATGAGGAGATGTTTGCCCAGAGGTTGGGGGCAGAAGCTGCCATCTCTGAACACCAGCCGCCCCCTCAGGATGGTTGCACACACCAACCCTTGCAGTTTGAAGCCGAGGTACGGGGTCAGCTACACACACACACACACACACACACACACACACACACACACACACACGGTCTGTCAGTCCATCAGAAATCACACGACTTGTTTCTTAGACGTTTCCTTGTTATTCCACTGACCTTGTTTTTATGGTGAACGTTTGCCTCTTCAATCTGCAAATAAACAAGAATGAGTGAAACGGCAGATCGAAGCTTTGATGATGCCAAATGTTTTGACATCTAACCTGGAACTCTCTCTCGGGGTCCCATATGACCAAATCTGCATCAAAGCCTGGGGCAAGGCTGCCCTTCCGGGAGCCCAGACTGCTCAGCTGGGCTGTCCTCCGGCTGAGGAGCCTGACCACATCAGCCAGCTGGAAGCCTCTCCCGCTGGCTGATGTCCAGAACAGAGGCAGACCTGGAAAACCACGAGAGGAGTCGTTATGCTCACTGAGCTGAAATAACCTTCTAAATAAAAAAAAAACTCCCCGGGGTTTTACGGAATAATTTCATCTGCTTTCGCTCCCCTAGAGGGCTGATGTCTAAACACAGCTAACAGCTGATCGTAGCTCCAGTCAGACTTTGACCGCTCTCCGAAAAAACTGTAAATGATTGTTCTAGACTTGACATTCAGCTGCTGACCGTTCTGACACATCTTACTGTTGATAGAATAGAATAGAATAGAATAGAATAGAATAGAATAGAATAGAATAGAGGGAGGAACTTTTGTTCCTCCAAAAACAGCCCTAAGACTAAACAGTCCCCTAGGAGGTAACTGGGGTGTGCTGCTATC